ATATCCAGCACCAGTCTCTCCCCTGTGTTTCAGTTCCACATCAGCAACTGCCTCTGGATATCTCAAACAGGATGTTCCAGAGACATCTTGAGTGCAACACATCTAAAACAGAACTTACTATTCCCTCACCCACCTACCCCTATTCTAAACTTCCCTTTCCTGTTGAAAGCATCACCAGTATTCTAATCTCTCAGGTTCATAACCTTTGTGTCATCTTTGGCTCTTTATTCTCTTCCACGTATCCAATCACTTGCTAAATCTGGCCATCTCTCCTTCTACAACATTTCTCAAATCCAATTTCTCTATATTCACAGTCACCCATTAGGTTCAAAAACATCATTTCTAACCCACATTATTGACACACTCTCCTCTTTGATATGATGATACACTTGGAAAATCCTAAAGACTCAACTAAAAAGCTAATTGAAACAATAATTTTACCATAGTAGCAGGATATAAAGCAAATCCATATAAATCATCAGCATTCCAATATATCACAAAGTCCTGCAAGAAGAGATAGTAAGAGACACCCCATTTAAAAAAACTCTAGACAGTATAAAATACCTGGGAGTATACTTGCCAAAACAAACCCAGGAACTATATAAACAAAATTATTTAAAAAAATATTTTATACAAATAAAATTAGATTTAAATAATTGGAGAAATATTAATTGTTCATGGGTAGGCAGGGTCAATGTAATAAAAATAACAATTTTACCTAAACTAATTTATATATTCATTGCCATCCCAATTATATTATCAAAAAGAGATTTTACTGAATTAGAAAAAATAATAACAATTCATTTGGAGGAACAAAAAGTCAAGAATATCAAAGGAGCTAATGAAAAATGTAAAGGAAGGAGGTTTAACAGTACCAGATCTTAAACTATGTTATAAGGCAGTAATTACCAAAACTTTCTGGTACTGGCTAAGAAATAAAAAGGTAGATCAATGAGACAGAGTAGACATACAATTTACAACAGCAAATAAGTGTAGTAACCTTACATTTGACAAGTGTAAAGACTTAAGATTTGGGGATAAGAATTCATTATTTGGTGAAAAAAAAAATGTTGGGAAAACTGGAAAGCAGTGTGGCAGAAATTGGGCATAGACCAATATCATATACCATTTACCAAGATAAGGTCAAAATGGATACATGAACTAGATATAAAGAGAGATATTACAAGCAAATTTGAAAACTGTAGAACATATTGCTTATCAGACTTGTGGATAGATGAACAATTTATGAATAAACAAGAGGCATAGAGCAGAGTGAGGTGTAAAGTGGATAATTTTGATGACATTAAATTAAAATGGTTTTTGCATAAATAAAACAAATTCAGTCAATAACAGAAAGAAAACAGAAAATTAGGGGAAAATATTTTTATAGACAGTTTCTCAGATAAAAGGTCTATATCTAAAATATATAAAGAACTTTGTCAAATCTACAAAGATATGAGTCATTCCCCAATTGATAAATGGTCAAAGGATATAAACAGGAAGTTTTAGGATAAAGAAATAAAAAATATTTATAGTAAAATGAAAAATGCTCTAAATCATTATTAATTAGAGAAATGCACATTAAAACAACCTTGAGAGAATATTTTACACCTATCAGATGGTCTAAAATGATTGAAGTGAAAAATGTTGGAGGGGGTGTGGAAAAATTGGGACATATTCATTGTTGGTGGAATTGTGAACTGATCCAACCATTTTGGAGCTAAATCTAGAATTATGCCCAAAGAGTTATTAAACTTTCTATACCCTTTGACTCAGCAATACCACTACTAGGTCTATTTCCCAAGATGATTAGGGGAAAATGAAATGAAGCTATTTGTTCTAAAATATTTATAGCAGTTCTCTTTGTGGTGGCAAAGAATTAGAAATTGTGGAGAAGCCCATCAATTGGGGATGGCTGAACAAGTTGTGTTATATGATTGTGATGAAATACTACTGTACTATAAATGATGAGCTCAATGATCTTAGAAAAATATGGATAGATTTGCATGAAATAATGAAGAGCAAAATGAGCAGAACCAAGAGAACACTGTGTACAGTAACAGCAATATTGTTTTAAGAACAATTTTGAGCAACTAAGTCATTTTGACTATTATAAACACCCAAATTAACTACAAAGGACATATGAAGGAAGATGCTTTCTGCATCTGGAGAAAGAAGTGATAAATAAAAGTATGTCTAGAATGATTTTACATACATATATATGCACACATGTGTCTAATGGTAGCCATCTCTAGGGTGAGGGGGGAGAAAAAAAGAAATTTACATGATAACTTTATTATATATTTAAAAGAAATAACAAGTTGTACATAATAGATTTGCAGTTTCATGTGCAATTATCTTTTTTATTGTACTGTGTCATGGAAATGTTTTATTCCATAAACTAAAAATAAAATAAATAAAAATTTAACAAAAACACTCTCCCAATTCATCTACCTGCCTTAATTCTCTCTCTACTCCAATTTATCCATAACAAAGCTTTCAAAATGATTTTCCTTAAGCATAAATCTGACCACATCACTCACCTGATCAATAAATTCCAAGGTTTCTTATTGCCTCTAGGATAAAATACAAATTCTTTTGTTAAGCTTTTCAATCCTTTTACAATTTAGCCCTAACCTATCTTTCCAAATTCATTAGATATAACTCCCCCTCTCATACTTTGTTATGGAGCCAAAATGTCCTTTCTATTGCTCTAAGGTATCCCATTCCCATTTCAGTGCCTTTTGTACTGACTAGTCGTCCTCCTCCTTCCAAACTCCACCTCATAGAATCCCTCTCTTTCTTCAAGACACTTACCAAGCGCAAACTTCTACAGAAAGCCTTTTCTAATGCCCTCAATTGTCAATACCTCCTTATTAAATAATTTGATTTATCTTATATTTATTCTTTTTATGTTTATACTGTATTGAATTATGTGTTCTTGCTGTTTCCTCATTGGAATGTATCTTATAAGTAGGGATTGTTTCATTCTTGATATTTGTATGTTGAAGTCTAGCACAGTGCCTGGCACATAGTAGGTCTTTTAAAAAATCTGATTGATTAATCCACACAAGGAAAACAAAATGGATGAAAAATACATACACATTGCCTAGGTTATGACATGCAATTGGGCGTGAACCTATTGAGTTAGTTTATCAATACACAAAAACACAAAAAATTCTCTCCTTGTGTGACAGATGAGAAAAACCAGGCTCAAATGGCCTTAGTGCATGAAACCCAGGACCCCTCACTCCTAGTCCATGGTTCTTTTCACTACACCAAGCTGGGGAAAGATCATCTCTGGCATCATCCCTAGATACACAGCTCCCCAGAGTGATGGAAAGGGCCACCATCATCCATGGTGCCAGTCAAGATCTTCTCTCTGAAAGCATTTACCATCCCACTGTGGAATTCCCAATTCAAGGTGAACACTTGGAGAAGAAAGCCAGAGGAACATAAACCAGCTCCGTGATTCCCCCTGAAAGCCTGCTAGAATGCAGAATGCTTTCCTTCCTCCCCTTCCCCTGCCTGGGATTCAGGTTTCTCCAAAGAAGGATAGAAATTGGATACTGCTTTGGTGGATGCTCCCTTTTCCACAATCTACTCACTGGACTGTGCAAGACAAAGCAGATTCCCCTTATGCTGCTACAGTATAGCAGGGCTAAGTGACTTTGCACACACCCAAACCAACCTGGTGTTGGGAAGCAGCAACAATGTGGGGGGCGGGGGGGGAGCGGTGAGCAGAGAAGCTGAGCTTCTCTGTCTCCCTGTCCCAGTTTCTCTGTCTGTCTCTGTGTCTTTCTGTCTTTCTCTCTTCTTTCTCTTTATCTTTTCTCTCTTCCTTCTTTCTCCTCTCTCTTCTTTCTCTCTCTGTTTCTCTGTGTCTTTCTGTCTCTCTCTGTCTCTCCTTTCTCTGTCTCTCCTTTCTCTTTTCTTTTTCTCTCTCTTCTCTCTCTTCTTTCTCTCTCTCCTCTCTCTTCCTTCTCTCTCTTCTCTCCCTGTCTCTCTTTCTTTTCTTTCTGTCTCTTTCTTTTTTTCCTTTCTCTCTTCTTTTTCTCTCTCCCTGTCTCTCTCTCTCCTTTCTCTCTCTGTCTCTCCTCTCTCTGTCTCTCTCTTCTTTCTCTCTCTCTTCTCTCCCTGTCTCTCTCTGTGTGTCTCTCTCTGTCTCCTTCTGTCTCTCTCCTTTCTCTGTCTCTCCTCTCTCTTTTCTTTTCTCTCTCTTCTTTCTCTCTCTTCTCTCCTTTCTTTTTTCTTTCTTTCTCTCTCCTCTCTCCTTGTCTCTCTCT